GGGGGGGGGGGGGGGGGGAGGTGGAAAATGATGACATATAAGAGAAATTTTATGCAAAATTGCTTGGCGCTCTATTCTTCTGATTTGATTCCTCATAAAGAATAGGGATATTTAAGGTGTTTGAGGGACTCTGCTGAATGCTGCTGCGGTTTCTTCTGGGAAATTAGTACTAGGGAGCTATAATAATAGGATTGGCAGTAGTTGACATAAAAAGATAGGCAGAATAGAGAAAAATGGCATCAAAGATGAGGTCCAAGTGATTTTGCTCATCTCAGTGATGTTGTGGTATGTTGGGATGGTTTTTTCCCCCCCTCTTGGTTTTGGTGTTTTTCAGTAAATACTGAGGGAGAATCTAGGTTAAAGGATTATTTCAGGTGAAAGCCAGAACAGTGGCAGAGAAGGGTTTCAAATTTATGAATTGTCTTCCCGCCTTTGCAGAAGAGGTTGACTCTAGATGAAAGATGCCCAGAAAGGGTGAGTAGGATAGAGATGGTGGTAAAAAGTTCTGAAAGGTCTGTATATTCCAATGAAGAGCAATAAACAGGAAAAGGACGTTGCTTGTGTTTTTTTTTCTTCTGCACTTAGTTTAATTGTAGCAGTGTAGACATTCAGGAAAGGTCTGGTATGAAACCTGTCATTTGAAAAAAAACCAGTCTCTATTTTTGGAGACATTTTATTACATTTGCTGTAGTGTTACAGTTCCTATACTTACAGGAAGAGCAGTTACCATATAAGCTGTTGCTATATTTATATGTGTATAGCACATAAAACGGTAGTCCACACCTGGACATGGTTTGAGCAGTGGATGGAAGAGACGTATAATGCAAGAGGAAATGTATCTTCTGAAGTGGTCATAAAGCTAAGAAGCTGTGGTCCAAATTCGCCTGCATATTAGCCCCTTGGGTGCCATCACCCACTGTATCTGGAGACAGACCACCACCATTTTCTGTTGTCTTGGTTGCCGTCTTATCCCCACCCAGCAGTTCTCAATATCTTGACCTTGTTCTCTAATCCTTTGTAGGTGTTGCTTCCTCCATAAAATTTTTAAGAAATTAACCTGCAGTGAATTGAGGATGGAGAGTGATGGGTATTGGGTAGGAGAGGAGATAACTGGAGGGGAGATTTGGAGTAGTTGTTGGTCTGTATTTTCATGTGTATAACTGGCAGGTAGTCTATGAGTTTATTACTTTTTTTGTTTTAAGGACAGCTTTTTTTAAGGGGTTGTGGATTTCCTATTGTGGGTTAAACACTTGAAAAACAATGTAATTGTACTGAAATATTGAATATAACTTAAAAATGTTTTTTCCTTTTTTTAGGATAACTGGACAGCTCTTATTTCCGCAGCTAAAGAAGGACATGCAGCTATTGTAGAGGAGCTACTCAATTATAATGTCAGTTTGGAGCATCGGGATTTGGTATGTGTTGTCCTAATGTAAAAATAAAATAATTTTTAGTAAGAAGAACAATTTTGGGAGTTGGAGATTTTCAGTTCTGTAAAGCAAATTGAAGGTCTTTTATTCTTAAATTATGTACTCAGTGCTGTTAAAAAGGAAAAATATATATTTAAATACTGGTTTTACAGCTGTAAAATAGTTGCTTTAGTGTTAGTAAAGGCAACTTGTTTTCTAGGGCTGTTTTTTTCCTCTTAATTTGCTTTGGAAAAAAGCTAAACTGAAGAACAGTTTGGGTTTTGGGTGTGTTTTGTGTGGGTGGGTTTTTTTGGGGGGGAGGGGTTGGTTTGTTGGGGTTTTTTTGGTGGTGGCGGCTTTTTTTAAAGTATTGTGGTACAATAAATGTTATCTTTTCCCAGAAGATACCTGTCCATATTTACTTTTTCTCTGGACAATCATGATTATTCATATAGCAGTCCTTGTTCTCAATATCCTGGAATTTGTTTTCATTCATCTTGCCAAATTTTTTGTATGGGAAAGTGGGCACTGTAGTCCAGTCCACCTAAAGAATTACGGAAGTTGCTTACATGACTAGGAGGTTAGATGCCTCTGAGGAGCTATAGCCTTGTCTCCATTGATGGGATTGGGAATTAGGTACCTGCAAGGACTAATTTTGTTCTGCTTAAGGTACAGTATGGAAAACTACTACGGGGAGAGTTCAGGTGCTTCCTTTGATTGAAGTTCTGCTCTGTCTGAAGGCTGAGGCATCTTGCCATGTCCTGCTAATCTATTTTTTTCATAAGCGTAACGTTAAGCACATCCACATGGCCAGTGGTTGATTTCTAGGCCTGTGTCCATCTGAGAGGGATCTTCTACCGCCCCAGAAGTGTATTATAAAGAAATAAATAAATATTGTGTTTACAGTTATCAGAGGCATACTGTTATTTTAAAATTAATTTTGGTTACCTGACCTGTCAAATGCCTTTAGGGAGTCAAACCTTGTTGTCTCCTGCTTTACAAACTTAAATGAACACACCAATGCAGTTTGAAATTAGTTGCTCTTATTACTCCCTTAAGAGGACATGATTTGCTTCTTTTTCATGAAGCAGCAAATCATTACATAGTTACTTTATGAAGTAAAGCTGTCTGTTACACAAATCAAAAGTAAACCCTCCATGTGAGTTGATTTGGATTCTAGACTTTTGTTTTAAGATAGTGCTTTCTTTTTGGATTGTTTATCCAGTCATCAGATTTGTATGCACTTCAAGTCTGAATTGAGTATTTACAGCAAATTCAGGAACATTTAGGGCACAGTATTCTTCCAAGTTTTGCATATAGCAGGCAATTAGTACTTCTATGCATGTGCTTATTATTTATCCTACGTAAGTAGGATTACAAGGTTGTGTAGTCAATCCTTACTATGTTTTGGACTTGCAAAACAGTCTTAGGACAAATACAAAATGAAATAAAAGTCACTAATTAGGTTTCTAAAGAGTGTTTTTCAGTTTTTACATTTCTTTGAATTGTGCTTGCCAGGGAGGATGGACTGCCCTGATGTGGGCATCATATAAGGGCCGTACCGAAGTAGCTAAACTGCTGCTTGAGAAAGGAGCAAATCCAAACATCACAGGAATGGTAAGTTTTAGTCTTAAACACCCCCTCTCCCAGTGCTTCAAGTCCTGAATTGTACACTCATATTGATTAAACATTTTGCATTTTTTGCAACATAACATTAATCACTATATTTATAAGGGGTTTGCTTTAATAATCTGTATGACAGCCGCTGTTTTTTTAATGAATTTTAATTTTTTTTAATTATAGCAAATGAATGTATAGGTCTTAGTAAGATTCAAATTAGCAGGAGAGGAAATAATAGAGAAGATAAGTAGTGTATCTAATGCTACTTGTATGACAATTGTCATTTTTCTGCGTCTGTAGAAGTTAATGGAGTAACTAATATGTGCAATTTAAAAACAATAATTTGTTTTAATTGTTTCATAATAGTTGCCAAATGGGCTAGGTTATACAAATATGTACCATACATGTGAGAGAGAATTGAAGAACTAAGATTTTGAGATTTATTTCATTTTATAAGCATTTTCTATACAAGTATAGGCATGTTGAAATTTGAATGAACAATTTGTTTATACTGTCAGCTCTCTGGTGTTTGAGGCAACAGTGAATGACCAAGGAAGAACACTGGTGACTTACCTTTCTGATTGTCCATTTCATCTGCTTTGCACAGGCAGCTTCTGCATGCGTGACATGACTGATCTGCAGGCCTGATTGACCAGGGGTATTGCATAGCTGTCTGTTGCTTCTCTCTTACATTACAAATGTTTATATTAAGATGAGGATGGATGTGAATTTTTAAACCTTGTATAAGGAGTTACAAAACAAAATTGATTCAAAACAATAGACATCTTCCTAGATATCACCTAGACAATGTACTAGGCAACAGTTACTGATATGTAGTTAGGCTTACTTCTGTCTGTTCCTTCTTCTGTGGGTTTGTTTGTTGTTACTGTGATCAATATTGCTTATGAAAAATAATTAAGACTATGATTTTATTTCCTCTTTTTAATTCTAAGCAATACAGTGTTTATCCAATTATTTGGGCAGCAGGACGGGGCCACTCAGATATAGTACATCTCTTACTGCAACATGGTGCTAAAGTGAACTGCTCTGACAAAGTAAGTTATATAATATTTAATTTCTTTAACGCTCGATACATGTTTTGTAAAAGTAAGTTTTATTAACAAAATACAAATCTGTGAGTTTTTGATTGGAAAAACACCCGCTGTTGTATTTTGCCCATGAGATTAGCATTAGTGTGCTAGAGTAAGTCATTAGACTTGCAAGAGGTTTTTCCGTAGTATGCTGAAGATCGTTGTGAACATTTATTTCAGTGGAGTGTATTTCTGTTTTCTAAGCTATTAGAAACTTTGCTATCCTAGGTTGCATAGAAAAACAATTCTTATAGCTATCATTTACAAAGAAGTTGTTAAAATGGCTATTCAAATGCTTGTGTTAATTCACAAGACCAAATTATATCTTTGTGAAAAATAAAGCAATAAAGTATAGGATGAATACTAGATTGTAGGGGTTACGAAATACAGAGAGCAATATGATAAAATGTTAAAAATGTTTTTGCAGTATGGAACCACCCCACTGGTTTGGGCAGCGAGGAAAGGTCATTTGGAGTGTGTGAAATACTTGCTGCAGATGGGAGCCGATGTTGATCAAGAAGGAGCTGTAAGTAACTGTTCATTTTCTGGTGATAAGGTGTGGGTACATACATCTGTGTGTCCTGTTTTATTTTGTAATAAAAATACCAAGAAATACATGAAACAAGATGAAATGTTGATGTTGGAGTGTACTACTTTCCAGCTATTTGCAAACTACATGTGAGGATTATTTAAACTTCTTTGTGCCTTTTAATAAAAATATTATGTAACTAGGGAGTCGTGTTGAGAATTGACATGCTGTTATGTGCAGTGTAAATTCTAATGAACATAAATGAATTTAGGTTATTGTTCTCTGAAGGTTAACACTATCAAAATTCATTCTGTACCCAAGCCTGATATGTCAGACAACTTACTCCTCAGTGCTATTTGAAAAGTGAATCAAACGCAAAGCATCTTTTGAAAATAATAATGGCTGTTGTGTCCTTTCAGAAGTTGGAAATTTTTTAGTTTTCAGCTGCATATTTTTTTGAAATAAAACAGATTTTAATTTTTTGTTGTACAAGACACTTAAAAAGCTTGTCAAAATAAAAAAAAAAATAGTAAAAGTGGGAAATTAGGACAACTTTTGGTATTCGTATGATTATTTCTGAAGTTCTTCAAAAAAACCTCTTTGTGAGTGGTACTGGCAGACCTGGGTGCTCTGATAATACTATGTTCCATATGACAAGAAAATTATTTTACCATGCATGTGACATTCAGGAGTTAGAATAAACTGATCTGAGTTTCACTCTTTGCATTTGAAGTGTTCTCTACTATAGTACTTAGTTTACTTCTTTTTCTTTAAAAAAGCATAGCAAGTGCACTTTAAAACATAAAACTGAAGTAACATTTGGATGCTTAAGAAAGTAATGTCAGTCAGTGTTCTTTTGTTAATTAAACTGATATAATGGTGATTTCTGTATCCACTGTACAATAAAATCTGTTGTTTTTTGTTTAAAGAATTCTATGACTGCACTTATTGTGGCAGTGAAGGGTGGCTATACTGATTCAGTAAAAGAAATACTGAAAAGGAACCCAAATGTAAACTTAACAGATAAAGATGGAAATACAGCGTTGATGATTGCATCAAAGGAGGGACATACTGAAATTGTGCAGGATCTTCTTGATGCTGGAACTTATGTGAACATTCCCGATAGAGTGAGTAAATTGTCATCATAATTGTGGGGTTTTTATATATATAATGATAATAATAATATATAGTTAAATGCCAGTGTATGCAAATTTGTGGGTACATGATTTTTCTGGCTTTCTGATTTTTCTGCCACCTAGGGGTATTTTTATGTATTGCTGTTTTGCAAGTATGTTGTGGCAAATATTGCTGTGTGAAGCTAAAGGATAAACTACAGAAACTACTCTTTTTCTTTGAGGTTTTTGAACTGTGAGTTTCCATAGGGCATGGAAATGATTTATGGTTGTCTATTTATCGTATCTGTAACATAAGACTAATACTGAACTAACTTGCAGGTTTGGGGTGAGGTTTTTGTGTATTAATACATGTGGTAGTGCTGTTAAAATTGTAAAACAATGGATATTGTAAAAGAGAATATGTATTTAATTCATTGTCTACCTTTATCTTTTCCAATGAAACTTTTTACTAGGAAACTTGCGTATATTAGAGGAATACCTCAGCTCTGTGGTTAAGACACGTAAATGTAACTGTTGAAAGGTGCACTGTGTACCTGAGCTGCGCTGCGTTGCTCAGCAGAGGCGTGCAGTATGGGCAGTGACCAGAGTGTGAATCTGCTTGCTAGCCACTCAGGGATTTTTTTGGTTGCTTATATAGGTGCCTTGGACTGTCTGTAGTGCCCTCTTGATAGCCAGGTTTTTCTGAAGTGTCAGAGGGAGGCCAAGCACTGCACCCTTGGGGCTGTAGGTGGTTAGATACCTAAATTTCGGTGCCTGTGTCAAGATCAGTGTTTTAGTTCAGAGCAGTAATACAATTTTGAGGTTGAATTCCCAGCCCCTAAATTGAATTGCTTGGGGTTGCAGAGAAGAGAGGAAAATCTCCTAATATTTGCCTCATAATTTTAGAAGGATTTTTGGATGCATTTTCCTATATTTCAAGTGTCAGCTTAGTGCATTTCTTAGATGGTTACGTACTAAGCTGCAGCATTGCATGTGACAACAAATTTGATCTCAGGTGCGTGTCAAAGCAAAACTTTAAATATTTAAGAAAATACATTGCAATCTCCCTTCCCACCTCTTCCGTCACAAAATTCTACAACTGCCTGCATTTCCTGTGCTTTTAGGAAGGATAAATTACAGCTTTCAGTACAGCTGACTGTATTCCAAAAATACATCAAACAATGAGTAGTCTTAGTGTCAGATGTTAGAGTAGGTTTTGATACGGAAAATTTCTTGGTTTGCAGCCAGGTGCGTAATGACTGTGATTGATAGGGGATCTGCTGCTACTGAACTTTCTAACTGAATTCCATACCTGTGATTCAGCTGTACTTTTATTTATCCTGTTTCATCATAAAAGAAGTATTGGGTAATTTCAGGATTTCATTTTCTGAAATTCTGACATATCCTTAAGTGTGTTCAAATCAGAAGCCTGAAGCAGAATTGTAACTTTGGTTTACATATATACAGCTCTGTTTACCACAGCAAAATATGTTTTTCTTCTGACCGTTTTGAGATAAAATCAGCCTTTTGCTTCTTTTCTTTGTAACAGCATAGTGTATGTAAACAGGATAGCAGTCAAATCTGCACCAAAAAAAAAAGGATAAAATTCTTTAAAATTCTTGAAGATCTTTTGTCAGCTGTGAAACATCTAAAGGAGACAGCCAATATTCTTGTTTGATTGTAAAGAGGTTATTACTGTGAGTGGTTGGCCTTCCTATGAATGTAGGGAACAGCTGGATTTTTTTGTACTCACTATTAATTTGTGCTGTTATTTTTTAGGATAATGCGTTAAGCTGGACCTATTTTGGGGGTGTTTGTTTTGCCATAAATACACAGTATTTCATCTTTTTGCAGAAAAATATAAAAATGGAGTCCAGAATTTTTTCTTCTATATACCACTTTTTTGGAGAGATAGAACTTTTTTTGTATTTTTCTTTAAAATGAGTGCAGATCTGTTAACGTAAATAGGCATAATGTGTATTTTGAGGCTATAATTTATTCTGTGTTGCATTTCTTTTTGATAAATAGTATTAATTCATCTTCGATATTCTCTCACAATTTTTTTTAGAGTGGAGATACAGTGCTGATTGGGGCTGTTAGAGGAGGTCATGTTGAAATTGTGAGGGCCCTCCTCCATAAATACGCTGATATAGATATCAGAGGTCAGGTAAGTACAACAGTGTAAATGTTAGAGTAGTTCTTAAATAGGATGTGAATTTGAATACCAAACAATTATACCGTGTTTCTACAAACAGGGCTTTAAAAACTTGTTCAGTCTATTCTGTAGGAAACTCAGATTCCCATCAAACCTTAAAAATACATCGTGTTGCTGTGCAGTTTTTAAGATCTAAGACAATACATAATTGTAATTACTTGTGTTAAGCAGCATTTTTTCAGTTAATTTGTATAATGGTTGAAAGCAAAAGATGTAAATTGAACTTACTTTGTCTGCACTGCTGAACAGATTTGAAATAATGAAATACTTTAAAACCCCCTTAATACTATTATTTTAATACTTAATAGTTTAAATTTAATATCAATACACTAAAATATGATACACCTTAGATTATATCTGTTGTCAGTGCAGTTTTGTCACTACGCTTGGTTGGTTCTTGTCTCCTTCACTAACTACCTTTCTCCTGTTAAGCAGTGTTGTCAGTGATTTCCATGTTTTCTACCTACCCCTTCTTCCTTTTTCTGTACTTTGATTAAGGTATTGTTTTTGTTCTTCTACCAAAGGCTCTCTTACTCTGCACGGTACTTGTTTTTATTGTTACATTCAACTTGCTTTCTTTTGCTTGAAGCTATTCAAATCACTCTGCTCGCAGGCACATATGGTCTGCCAAGTTTGAATACAAAACTAACTAGTCACTGAGAGCTGCAAAGATTCAGTGCCTGTTATTGACACAGAGCCTCTTTGAGATGCCAAGAAGCTTTTAGTTTGGAGAAAAAGTAGTGTTTGGATCTTTTCCTCTAACGTGCCATTGGAAACCTGGAATTGTGTGTCTCAGCTTCTTGCTGACATGGGTCTGGAAATCTGGAGCTTTTCAACATCTTGATACGACCAAGGCAATACAGAAGCAGTAAGAGGACCCAGCCTCCTCCGGGGCAGGGAAGCGTGTGACTTGTGGCAATGTGAGAGTGCCTGTATAGCCATGTGCAGCGGTTAATCTAGGGAATTACATTTGTGGCCTTGTTGACGCAGCAGGAGTACCATCAGAGGAAGACTCTGGCTGCGCGCTTCAGATCTTCACATTAGGACCAGCAGTATCGAAATCGGTGACGAGCACTAGTGTTTAGCAACTCCCCTGCTGTTAGGCATGGCAGAACCTGTCTGCCAGCCAGACCTGTTCTGGCGAGATTTGCTGCCTGCCGAAATCTGTGATGTGCCAGAAAGATTGCTGAGTCTTGCCCAGCCTTCCAGCGTTTGTGTTCCTTGCTGCTCATTCATTCATAAGGACACTAGTCAGAGGAGACCTTGAGCAGAAAAAATGTGACTATAAGGCTCTGGGAGCGAGTGTTGGGGCAGTGGGGAGGCTCAGGTGGTGTTCTCCTCAGCCCGTTCTGGTAAGGGCATAGGACCCAGCTGGGAGCACCTGGCAAACCAGTACCTGGCTGTGCAGCTGACGTTGCTAGCGAGGAGTCAGCTTCCTCAGGCTGGTGTCTTGTTGGAGGTGGAGGACATGAAACCCAGGTGACCAGAGAGGAGAGAAATCTTAGTGACCAGGCTTGTTAAACTGTCAAGAAAGGCTTTGCACTCAGTTTGCTGTGAAGCACACAGGTGGGAGAGGAAGAGCTGCAAATGAAAGAAGGAAGCAAGGGAGAAGGCTGCAAGGGGGACTTTGACATTCCTGCTTAGAAGCAGGTATGCGTTCAGAGGCTTTTCTTAAATGTCTCTACACAAGCGTGCATCAAACGGAAAGAGGTGTGGTGCAGTCACTAGGCTACAAAAAGATTGCAGGCATGGAGACTTCCTGGGATAGCACGCATTGCTGGGAAAGAAAAAAAAGATGACGCAAGCAGATTTGCAACTATGAACCATTCCCCCTGGTTCAGTGATACAATGTATGGCTGATCTGCATTCTGGTACTTTGTGTTGACTTTCATGCCCATCTGCTTTTACAGCTTTCCAGCTTGCATGACCTGTTTTTAGGCCAGCCAACCAGTTCAGCAGTTTTATTAGGCTATACTGTAAAATTGAGAACAAAATGGACATTTTCTTAAAAGGTCTGGAAGTGGTTAGCACTTCTGGTTCTGATAGGAAGGAAATCTTTTTAAAAAGAAAAAACATGCTTCAGAGAAACATGACTTACATAATAGGGGTAAAAAAGACAACACTCTGGAAAGAGTTGTTTTATTTCATTAGAAAACTTGTATATTTGAGTTACAACTGAATACCCATATATAATTTTGGAAACTGTTTCAAGACAGGTTGAATCTGCTTGGATTGTTAAAGCTCTTAATATATTTTGCACAGATTTTTAAAATAGGTTTGTGTTCTCTAGCCAGATTTCCATTCCCCCCCAAAGTTCTACTGGTGTACCAATTAGATTTGGTGGCATTTCCATTTGCCCTGAGCTGTGCTAAGATTTTCTGTATTATGTGCTATTTTAAACGTAGTGGTTATACTTCATATACAGTTTTTGAAATTAATCCAACTGAATGAAAGTACTGTTAACATTTAATACTCTCTTTTTTCAGGATAATAAAACTGCTTTATATTGGGCAGTTGAGAAAGGAAATGCTACAATGGTGAGGGATATCTTGCAATGCAACCCTGATACTGAAACATGTACAAAGGTAACGATTAGAATTTTTAATATAATTGCTTTGTTTGGCATCTGTTCTTTTCTCAACTCCTATGTGACGTTAGGATCGTAATACCAAATTCAGATTTTGTGAAGTGTTGGTACCTTGCATGCTGTTAAAAAAAAAAAAAAAAATCTTCTAAATATGGAATTTATTTTCAACAATGGTAGTGTCCCCTTTGTTGATAAACATCATCTACTACTAAAACTCAATAGCAGGGAAAGTGTGGATACTTTACCTCAGCATCGTTGACATGACAAGCAATAAGGAGTAGAGAGCAAGTGCTACTGGAAACAGAGGAAGGAGATTTCTGATACTGTTAAACATCAAAGTTCAGACCGCTGTTTATTGCTTGTGCAGGAATAGAAAAAATCGAGGAAGTAGTATGTACAGCAATGAACTACTTCCATGAGTCTTTTTTCAAATATCTTGTATTATGTCTGAATCTCGTCTTTCTCTGTTTGACACTGTTATTAACAGAAGTGTATTTTGTTCTGTGATTCTGATCAATCTAGAATACAGGGTCCGTGATACTTTTTCAGTAACACATGTGCTGAAGTGTTGTTACTTGTACAGTAACATATTTAATTGAAAAAATTCCTTAAAAATTTGGGATTTAACTTGTTACGCCATCACTAGTTTTTGCTTGGTTTTGAGTATACAGAGAAGATTTTTATTAGGCCTACTTTTCCCTTTTAGGATGGAGAAACACCGCTTATAAAGGCAACCAAGATGAGAAATATTGAAATAGTAGAGCTTCTTCTGGATAAAGGAGCTAAGGTCTCTGCTGTAGACAAGGTAAAGAATATTTGTTTGTTTACTTTAGTATATTTAATCATTTTAGTTTTGCAGCAGAATTTTGTAGTGAGCTGTCAAGGCTAATACAGGAAGAGAACTTCCCATATACTTAATAATTAAATAGACCATAATACTTAAATGCTTATTCTCCCGTATGCTTAATAATGAAATAGATCAGAATACTTAAATACAAATTAATTCCCACCATTAATAGATTGATTTTTTGTTTGTATTAGGTTACTTTTAGTAATATGAAAAGAAAAAATTCCAGGTCAGGAATAAAAATTTCACAGATAAGAATACTAATTCTTAATACACTTGAAAAAGAGCATAGAGAATGGTTGTTATTTGTCACTGAAGTTTGGTTTTGATTAATAGACATTGAACTAAACACTGCCAAGGACAAATACAATGGTTTGTTGCTGTCCTCTTATGCATTACCTATTTTGACTGTAAACCTTTTAAATACAGCAACATTTATTTGATACTTTTTAACCTCTTAGGATTATGGTTAGGGCAAATAAGTAATAATATTGATTTGATGTAATAAGGCAACTTTTGCCAGAAAGCTTTTTGGAGAAGTCTGAGTAGACATTGAAATAATTCAAACAAGCAGTATCTCTTGTTCCAAAGAAGTCTCTGAATTTGCTAGTAGATACTTGTTTCTAAATAAGAGTTTCTAAACAGCGACTACAGTTTTCATGAACCTTAAGATATTGTTATAAAAGTTTAAGAAAGAAGATAGTGCCTTGGATTTAGCATTATAAGAACTGCCTTCTCACATGTCTTTTCTGAAACCTTTGTAATGCTTTTTGAGGGGAAAAAATGCTTGCTGTAAGGCGTTAATGTTGTTGAGAATACTTTAAGATGTATTTCAAGTAAATAACGCATCTGAAACTATGTGGAACATATGGTCTGTTCATAATCTTAGGAATTTGTGTTAGATATTACTAGTTTTTCACTTAATTGCAGAAAGGAGATACTCCACTTCATATTGCCATTCGTGGAAGAAGCCGTAAACTTGCTGAATTACTCTTAAGAAATCCAAAAGATGGTAGATTGCTTTATAGACCCAACAAAACAGGAGAAACGCCTTACAATATTGACTGTAGCCACCAGAAGAGTATTTTAACACAGATATTTGGAGCCAGTAAGTATAAGTATTTAATTTTATTTTTTTTAATCACTTATATATTGAGAATCCAGTTTATTCAATTCTGTATTGAAAAGTGGTAACCATTTACTTCTTTTCACGTTGCAACTAAGGGGAGAGCTATAAAAAAATCAGTTGGCAAAAAAAATTCTTGATTCCAAGAGCGTAACAAAGGTCAAATGTACCTTTTTGGTTTTGACTTTTGACATTGGATACTGTGCGACTTCTGTTGATAGTTTTGTTTTTACTTAGATCTTGCTTGTGTAGGAATTATTTTCTTTGACTTGCTGTGATTTGGGATTTTGTTTGAGTCTTTTGTGGTAAGATCTAATGGTTTTGATAATAATATAACGTTTATGTGGATATTTAAAATTCTTTTGAACAAGAATGTACCAATAATACCAGCTATTATGTGGGAGGAGTGTATATGCAAATATAGGCAAACCTGTCGTGATTTTATGGATTAAAATTGTCATATTAAAGAGGTGTCTTAAAGCAAAGTTTTGTTACATAGTATTTGTATTACAGGACACTTGTCTCCCACGGAATCTGATGGTGACATGCTGGGTTACGATCTGTACAGCAGTGCTTTGGCTGATATTCTGAGTGAACCAACCATGCAGCCACCTATCTGTGTAGGCTTATATGCACAGTGGGGAAGTGGAAAATCTTTCCTGCTCAAGAAACTGGAAGGTAAAAGTTCATTTAGCCTTTTCTGTAGGTTCAAATCTATCTGTGAAAAGCATCATATGGGAGTTACTAGTTTTCGCGACAGCCATTGGTCCATGTAATGTTGTATCCAGTCTCCGTTTCTGTAATGAAAGGATTTAAATTTTAGTCTGGTCAGTTCATCCATAGGTTGCTTTGTTCACTTATACAATCTCAAGACAGTCTTTAAGTGTTGCTGTCTATTGTCCTGTGGGTTTCCTGCAGCAGTGAATCTACTCTTTAGGTACTGTTGAAAGTATGGCTGCTGAAATATGCCTTGCTGGGGGTGTTTGCATGTCAAATCAGGTTCAGACCTCTTTTGCTGCAGTATTTCTTTATTGTGTCTCCTATGTGTCATCTTATGGGGTTTTCTTAAGTTTAAAAACAAGTACCAGGCTATTAATATTTTTTCTCTGTAGCATATTTTCTCTGCATCTAGTTTTCTTCCCCTTCCCCTTATTTACTTTGAGCTTTTTGAACTTTCTGAAATGACAGAGGAAGGCAAATGCAGTATTATGAAGAGAGTCAATATTTTTCACAGTGGAAATAGGCATCTTATTTACAGTGTTAGCTTTTTCTAACAAAGGATGTTTTTCTGAGATGTTTCAGTATAATTCAAAATACTTTTACCAGTCTTGATTTTTCTTACTTTCTGCGATTTCTATGTTTTTAAAAGCTTCTATATTAGTGAAAATGGGGTCTGTGCATTCACTTTGTTCACCTCATGTCCCATGTCATAAACAAAAAGTGGTGTGCATTTTTGACTGTAATGTTTATTGTTGATGAGCTCTTACATTTTTAAAATGCTTTTACAGTATTTTCTTCCTGTTCCTCACTCATCTTTTTATTTTGGATTGTGTATTTAATGTTTCTTATTCAATAGCTCCTAAATGAGTTTCTTCAGGAATTCCTGTTTCATTAAATACGAATCGACAAACAGAAATAAATACTGAAGTCTTGACGTTGTACTGTTATATCTGACTATTTGAGGAACATGGTCCAGATTTCAATGATGGAGATTTTGGGGTTTGAGGGTTTTTTGGCAGATACGGTGGATTTATTTTTCTTGGTTTCATAAAAAATATGTTTTAAACTTTTGAAGGAGGATAGAAAATGGCATGGCTTTTAATACGCCTTTAAAAGTAGAAAATCTGCAGCAAACAATGCAAGTATTATGTATTTAAATGGTTTTATTCATTGCATGGATGAAAACTTACGGGTCTGCACTAACGTTTGAAGAAGAATTCAAGCATCATTGTCTTTTTTTGGATCAATAATAGGGAAAAGTTACACAGTCTAGTGAAAAAGTGTTTCTTTTCAAAGATGATCATTATAATACCTTTTTTGCTTTTTGTTCTAGAATGATTTAACATGTTAACTGGTCTTTTTCTTTGTTTAGATGAAATGAAGACTTTCGCAGGACAGCAGATTGAACCTCTGTTTCAGTTCTCCTGGCTTATTGTATTCCTCACACTTTTGCTGTGCGGAGGTTTGGGTTTGTTGCTTGCTTTCACAGTGGATGCAAAGCTTGGAATAGCAGTGTCACTCAGCCTATTAGCAGTTCTCTACATTTTCTTTAGTAAGTCTTATTTTATATGATGTTTGTGAAGGTTTTTGTCTATTTTTGGAATTCAGAATTGTTTTGCAGACATGCTTTGTGATTCAGAAAAAGTGCTAACTAAATGTTTTTGTAGAAAATAGGACCCCTTTGGACCCTTTCCTTGCATTTTGCATGTAATTTGTGAGAGGGCATTCTTAAAGAAGAATTTTGTATATTAGCTTCATTGTGTTACTCTTACCATTCTCATTTTTAGCCATAACTGTTAGAAATCCATTCAACTCCTTTTATGTAACTCCATGCCTTATCTGTTCAAACTTCATGGTTCTTTCAGTTGTGAGCGCTGACTAAAATATAGCCATAACATCTTTTATGATTTTTAATATTTCAGCTGTAATTTACTTTGGTGGCCGAAGAGAAGGTGAGAGCTGGAACTGGGCCTGGGTGTTAAGTGCAAGGCTGGCGAGACATATTGGATATTTAGAGTTGCTTCTCAAACTCATGTTTGTGAACCCGCCAGAATTACCAGAGCAAACCACTAAAGCTTTACCTGTCAGGTTAGTTATTTCATTTATTTACTCTTGAATGAATAATTCAGGTTAACTCTGATACTTTTCAAACTATGTGCGTTAATGTGCATGTTTATCTTCCTATGAAAAGCTGTTGAGATTCCTGTTGGAAAAACAGTAGCCCTAGAAGATCATGTAGCTAAATTTTTCAGTGTGAGGAAGATAGTAACGTTTTCAACAAAAACTCTGGTTCAAAGTTGGTGAAAGTTACTGCTTTTTACCATTTAGGGTTTTGACTATCATACTAATCAAAATTTGCAACAGACAAAGTAAGAATTTGGTTTTCTGGTATAGCTTACGGTGTATTACATTTAATGCTTGTTTCACTGATTACTTCTGTTAAGGTCTTTTTTTTTTTGTTTTTTTTCTTCTTCTTCCCCCCTGTAAGTAGAGTATCAGACTGCTCAAAGCTTCCAGTTTACCTGAAAGCAAGAAAATTTATGCCATGTGATTTATAGTTTTGTTTACTTGTGTTGTTTAGAGACTTAGAATCATACAATCGTTTAGGTTGGAAAAGACCTTTAAGATCATCCAGTCCAACCATTAACCTAACATTACCAAGTCCAAGAATTGTATTTTAGCCTCATGGTGCTTTTATGTGATCTTGTTCTTCTGTATTTTTTTTTAATCCTCCATAAATATTTGAAAATAGCTCAGAATGCATTTTCAAAAATACTTGTCAATACTATGTTTTGGCATCATAAAGATATTTTTATGGTTTTACTGCCATCTGAGGTGCCGTTAGTGATGTGATCATTTTTTTCCTCTTTAAGAAATCCAATTTTAGAATAGGAATTGGGGCACCTGATAACAGGTGAAGGAACAGAGAAATAAATACTTAAAGTCCCTGTACAGTTTAAAAAAAAATAAGTATTTAAGTATTTTACATTTTGTGCCACTTGAAAAAACTTTTAGCTGCAGAGGTGTAGGAAGATTTTTGTTTTGGTTGCCAGAAAATATTTAAAGCTTTCTAAAGTAGACAAAATACATGTTTTTTCTCTTTCAGATTTTTGTTTACGGACTACAATAGACTATCCAGTGTAGGTGGAGAAACTTCATTGGCTGAGATGATTGCTACCCTCTCTGATGCATGTGAAAGGGAATTTGGTTTCTTAGCAACAAGGCTATTTCGAGTTTTCAAGACAGAAGATACACAAGGTTTTTATTACTTGAACGACATTTCTGATTATTCCATTTCAATGCACTGTTATCAGAGGTTCTGTTTTTTGCATCATAAGCTCTTTTTAGAAAGCGTTGTAGCCATGCAGAAATTCATACAGAAGGGGAAACTCTTTGTGGTGTTTTGGAGAGAAAAACGCCCTGCTTTGTTTGCTCATCTTGATTTTATTAATATCATAAAGGAGTATCTTCTGTGAAGTATAGTTTTCAGAAGTGTCAATGGAAATGTACATATATATATTACATCCTTTTAGATGCAGCATGGTATTTTTCCATAGCAAGTCATTGTGTTTGAGTCAGATAAAGGGGAAAGTATACTTTTGAAAGTATACTATTGCTAAGAGAAGTTTCTGTTTAGTTTATTAGATTTTAATTCAGACCTTTTATGAGTGACCACTAATTATTCTTGGAAATAATAAAGATATAGAACATGTTGGTCCAAAGCTGTAAATTGCTGTGATCAGTGCTGGTAAGATGGGATGAAATATTGCTACTTGATCCAAACGGAGCAAACTTTTTTCTTCTGTCCCATCTGTAGATTTCTGACAAAAATACACAGTACGGAGTGATATTATGAAGAAAGGGAGTCCTTGAGGGTAACTTTCAATTCATAGAGGACTGACTTCTGCTTTGAGTTCAGTTTCAGTCAGTTCCTTCTCATTTCATTTTGGCCTTGACCACAAATTGAGGAACCTGTTAGATGCTGTCTCCTCTCACAAAGCGAAATGTTTAGATTCTCCTGTCTTGCAGAGGGTAGAAGAAAACATGCGATGTGCGGAACACAACTTACTCTTCATTGTTCTTTCTCAAATTCACTGAACGTTCTTTATGAAAGTGATACATGGAGTTTTTCACCCTTATTTCCATGTTAGACATTCTGCGGTTCTTCTCCTTAACCTCAGTGAAACAGCTTTCATGATACTGTAACTTCTCCTGAAATTGACTTGAGAGTGGCAGTGTAGTGCTGGCTTCTTGTGGTTATTTGCAGTCATCATCAAGGGAAAACCCTTTCATTTGTAATCTTACATTTCTCTTGTATTCCTTGGCTGTTGCCTTCCTGTGCCCTTCCTAATTATCTAATTGATTTTTTTTTTAATCTATTTGGTGATCTTGCACATCTTCTCCTTGTCAGACGTTTGTAGGTCTAGGGTCATAGGTTTCTTGTCTCTAGATGTTCACTGAAATTCCATATGGGTTTCTTTTTAGTCTCCTGTATCTTTAATTTTTGTTATGTCTGTAAACTCACAGACAAGCCTGTTCAATTGCTGTTTCATTGTTGATGATTCCTAAGTCTCTAATCCAGTTCTGTCTTTTTCTAGCTAGAGGAAGCTTGCCTCCTACTTCAAAATGTCTAGAACTGAATGTAATTATAACTGAGCTGTTACTCTTCTCTTCTTGCCCCTCACTCCTGTCATTATTCGTTTCTGTTGCTTTGTCCTGCATCACAATCCTATCTGTCACATATGTCAGTAATGTGAAAGGCCTTTCCAGCTCATACCCCAGTCTAGAATATCATACATGGGCCATGTCTAAACCTTGGATATTCTTTCCACGTAGCGTATTTAAAATTGGATTTTTTCCATTCCAGTTCAAATACTGATTTTTAGCTGCCATCATTTTGCATGAGATTATTACTATGTTCTGTTCTTTGTTATCAACAAATGTGTACAGAAGATGTGAATCTTCTAGATGTGTATGCCACTAGATGTGTACAGATCCTAAAGGCAGAGGCTGCTACTTTGGGAAAAAGCTGTTTCTTTGATCACTCCTTTAGCTGTGCTAACCTCCAACTGCAATATTTCTTTGTCTCTTCCTTACCAATCCAATTGAAGTCAGGAGGTCTATATTCTCTTCTGAGGCCCTTGTGATCTGTACAAACCTTACATACTGCAGTCCTCCCTTGTTTGTGTATGTTTTAGCATGCAAGAAAGGATAGTCTCATGTTGTAGCTTGCAATTTTAATTTAGTTCTCCAGTGGCACCATTACTATTAGATTATGTAAGTATCATGTTCCTGTTTAAAACTGACTAGTTAGCATAGGGTTTTCCTAGGATTTACTTGCATAAACACACTTTACTGAGAGATGTCACAAAAGGGATGATACCACTGGTATGAAATCTATTTAATAAAGATCATTTCAATCCAGCGTGGATTTCTTGAAACAATGGAAATAAACTGAAGGTTAAAGGAATATCCCCTCTTCATAATTTCCAAGAATTTTAGCAAATTTAGACTATTTTCTTTCATGTTTGTGACTGAATGGTAACACTGCAGTAACCTTTTGTGCAACTTAGTGTTTTATGAGAAGTATGCAAGTTAATAGATTTTGTGCTCACTTGTAATTACATTTTACATTCATTTTAACAGCAAATAACTTGTTTCCTAGGTAAAAAGAAATGGAAGAAAACTTGCTGCCTCCCATCCTTTGTGATTTTCCTGTTCATATTGTCTTGCGTTGTTTCTGCGATTGCCCTGCTGGCAATTTTTAATGTAGAACCAGGCAACATGACAGTGAATGTTATTCTTATATCAGTTACCTGTGTTGTTGGTTTGGCCTTTATCTTGAATTGTCGCACATGGTGGCAAGTCATGGATTCAGTTTTGAATTCTCAAAGAAAACGTCTTCACAATGCTGCCTCCAAGCTGCACAAGTTGAAAAGCGAGGGGTTCATGAAGGTAAGCATTTATATGAATTGGCCATTAAAAGAATTGAAACAAAACCCCAAACCTGTAGCCTTCTTAAGATGGGGTGCCATTTATTTGATCAGGCCAAGTCTCGCAACATTAGAATGAGCCTTCATGAGTTTTTTACTGAAGGGAACGCTTCTGTTCTACTAGTAATTATGCTTAGTGTAGGAGATCTGTCTGCTCAACCAGGAATGTTAAATTTGGATTAAGTTTTCAGTTTCTAATTTTGTTTTTGCTGGGAGGAAGGTATTAGGAAAACAACTGGTCTAAATGATCAGTGTTTGGTAAAAGCTTACTTTAGAACATAAGATTAGAAAGAATAACTTTTTAAATTTTCTAAAGGTGGAAAACCAAGCCTAACTTTGGCTGTCTGCAAGAGCTCTTTACTAAGAAAGAAATGATAGCACTGAAAGAACTTTCCAAAACAGTTCACGTATGCCATGAAAAAAAATACAGAAAATACTATTGTTTTGCTGGGTTGTGTCTAAACTGATAAAAAATGTACCCATCAGGCTGTCATCAAATATCCTATATGCTCCTGTTTGAAAATAAACTTTAGCATCATGATGGTTACCTCCGTAGATTACAGCTAATACATTGTATAACAATATGTTGTGCAAATATTTTTGTAGCACAGAAGACCTTGTCTGTGTCTTGCTACTGTGTTTCTTGACAATTGTTTTCTGAGCGGTATTTATCTGGCATAACTTCAGCCATTTAGGAGTTAGGTTCACCCTTTGCATTCAAAGGAGAGAAGTGGGTATTTCCAGAGAGTTATTCATACGACTTACATCATCTTAGTGTGCACATTCAAGGTTAATCTAGTGCTGAATAGATCAGATTTTAATGTCTACCTGTTAGTTGCTGAAATTAGGACAGGTGAATTCCACCTTTGTTTCTACATTAAGGGTAGTTGTAAAATGCATAACTCAATGTTGAAAAACTTAAAAAAATCTTCATATTGCATATCCTGAATAGGAATGACAGCATTAGAGTAATAGCATAATTTGCTTGGCTGGAAGGCAGATAGAAAATTTTAGTGTACATTTTATGCAAAGCAATTCTTGAGGATTAGCTGAAGCTACAAATACTCTTGTTTACTCATGAAATACTGATTTACAGTGCATAAATATTACTTTCTTCTTAAATAACATTGTAATGGAATTTAAATAAGGATAGTTTGTTACATTAAAGTGAAATATGCAGTTCTGCTGTACATTTTTGTGCAAATAGGAAATTAAATTTTGGAAGTGACATTTTAGGACTTTCACTTTAGGTATTTATAAGTGCTCCTTGTCCCAAAAATACTTCAATAAGATTACAAAAATAAACAATCTCCAAAAGGAATTATATGCATTTTTGTGAATTTTACATATTAGAGATGTCTCTTCCTTCTTTGCTTTTCATTTTTATAGGTTTTGAAGTGTGAAGTGGAACTGATGGCCAAAATGGCAAAAACCATTGACAGCTTCACTCAGAACCAGACAAGGCTTGTTGTAATTATTGATGGACTGGATGCTTGTGAACAGGACAAAGTTTTACAGATGCTTGATACTGTGAGTTGGATCATTTTATAAAGATGATTTCTGGATCAGCTGGATGATCTGCTCCATAGATGAGCTCAGATACATACAGTTATTGTGTATTTTCTATAGAAAGAAGGCTTGTATACAGAGTCTGTGTATTGTAGTCTTTTAACATTTGTGTACATTGGCATAACTGTAATACTACGAGTGATGGGTTTTAAAAGTTGAAAATTAAATCCCAGTAGGACTGTGCATGTTGATACTTGTGAAAAGTTTTTAAATAATCAGATGTAAATTACTGAAAATCAATATGCTGTTGAAACAAACTTAAAATGCTTGGAGAGTTTTTCTACTTACTTTTGAAGTACTTTAGATGAAAAATACTTAAATGCTAAATAATTGGGGGGGCTACGACATTACTGCATGATACCTTCTTGGTGATGACTTCCACTGTAACTACTACTGCTAATTTGTCAAGTATGCTTATTTCTAATTGTGGGTAAGTTCCTAACATTAGCTATCCCATGTTGAAGAAACTGACATTTCTATACATCTCTTGTCCTCTCAAATTTATAACCTGTACAGAATGAATATAGAATGTTGAGTCAGACGTTCAAAAGATCCACAGTAACTATTATTCATTAATTATTATTAACAAGGTGTACTGTCTACTTTTTTACAGGTGCGAGTCTTGTTTTCAAAAGGCCCATTTATTGCTATTTTTGCAAGTGACCCACACATTATTATAAAGGCTATTAATCAGAATCTCAACAGTGTTCTACGTGATTCAAACATAAATGGACATGATTACATGAGAAACATAGTCCATTTGCCTGTTTTTCTGAATAGCCGAGGGCTTAGTAATGCAAAAAAACTGATGGTAGCTTCGACAACCAATGGGGATATTCCTTATACAGATAATGCAGGTAAGGTTATGCAGATGGATGATGTGAAAGTTACAAAACCAATGTTCCAAAAATCTGTTTTTTGGAACAAACTATTTAAATAATTGGCAGATCATTAGTGTTATTTTATAGATCAGTCAAATGTACATGAATGGAGAAAATGCCTGCCTTCTGTTTTCCCTTCCATAGGACTGCATGAAGAGGTTGACAGGAGAGTTTCTCAGAACAGTCTTGGAGACATGACCAAGCTTGGTAGCAAAACTGCTCTCAATAGGCGGGTGAGAAAGATTTTTAGACTAAATGGAGATACTGGTAAAACCTTTTTTCTTTTCTTTTTTTTTTTCCACATTTTTAATGATGTCAGCTTGGAAGACTTATATCAAACCATTCTTAATGAAATTAATATAAATGATCCATGTAGGAAAAGTACATTCTTAAATCAGTAGACTGATGCTCTATCAAAAAGGAAGAAGTTTGCTTGCTCTTGTGGTTTAACCTGGCAGGCAGCTAAACGCCACAGCCATTCGCTACCCCCCACCAGTGGGATGGGGGAGAGAATTGGGGGGAAAAAAAAGTAAGATTCGTGGGTTGAGATAAAGACAGTTTAATAGGACAGAAAATAATAATAATAATGACGATGATGATAAAAGAATATACAAAATAAATTTTGCACGATGCAGTTGCTCAGCACCTGCCAACTGATGCCCAGCTGGTTCCTGAGCAGCCACCCCCTGGCCAATTCCCCACAGCTTATATACTGAGCATGACATCATATGGTTTAGAATATCCCTTTTGCCAGCTTGGGTCAGCTGTCCTGGCTGTGCACCCTCCCAGCTTCTTGTGCACCTGGCAGAGCATGGGAAGCTGAAAAGTCCTTGACTAGTGTAAGCACTGCTCAGCAACAACTAAAACATCAGTGTGTTATCAGCATTATTCTCATACTAAATCCAAACCACAGCAATGTGCCAGCTACTAGGAAGAAAATTAACTCTATCCTAGCTGAAACCAGGATAATGCTCACCAAAGTGTTCTTTTCCACAAATACTTACATTCAGCTCTCTGTGAATGCTGAGATAATACAGCATACTGGTAGTAGCTATGGTCTATGTATGTATGTATAATTCAGATTTTTGTGTGCAAGCCTGGTATCGCTTGATCACAGGATGTTGCAATAAGGGTCAGTAATTGAGCAAATCAAGGAATTTAGAGTATTATAGTACTAGACTTTCACTGCAACATGTCCACCACACTTTCTTTCCTGCTTTCTGGCAATGCTGAAATTAGTAACCTTTTTACAAAATATGTCACTGTGTCACTATTTTGCCCTCTAAGAATTGGCATGGAAGTAAAATGTGTAACTCTTAGCAGTTCTTGGCTTATATGGGTATCACGCTCAACTGTTACATAGGTAAATCAGAATTAAATTCCAGTAAATATTTTTATGGTATTTCATGTCTCACAGACACATATTCACAAAGGTTCTAACTTTATAATCAAGTAAAACTGAAGTATTTCAAATACATAAAAGTTTTTGATACTAGTAAGTATTCCTTGCTGTTTTGTATCATTATCAGGATACTTACCGAAGACGCCAGATGCAACGTACCATTACCCGCCAAATGTCTTTTGATTTGACCAAGCTGCTGGTTACAGAGGATTGGTTCAGCGATATCAGTCCTCAGACCATGAGAAGATTGCTAAATATTGTTTCAGTGACAGGTAAGTGTGGCATGTTTCTGTACAGTAAACAGTATTGTTTTTGGTTGCTGGTAGTTACACTCAGACTTTTTAGTGTGTAAACTAAATTTAACAAGTCAGTCCATGTGTTGATTGTGAAAATCCTTCTGAAGCACACTCTTATAGAGTGCAAGCAAAGATTATAGACTATTCTATGTAGAATTAAAAAAAAAATAAATAATACTTGTTTGTTGTTTCATTGACTTCAGTTGGGAGGCAAATGATTCTAGTCTACATCTTTAGGAAGCTTTATATTTTTTAATTTTGAAGTGGGATAATAAAATACATTTTTTGATTTCGTAATACTCTAATGTGAACAAAGCTCGTAGTGCTGGTATCTTAAAAGGTAAACTGCGAGGCAAAACCAGGTATGTATCCTTTACATTTTGCCATGGATATTTGGAGTCCTTTTTCCCTAAATGTTTGTCTGGGCCTGATAAAAGCATTTTATGACCTGTTTTCCTTCAACAAAACACAATCAATACATTGGTATCTTTGAGGTTTATAAACTGGAAACAACTGGAAAAGGACTTATTGAAGTCTAATAAAATCATGTTTCATGTCGTAAGTGAATGGGGAATGATTATTTACTGTCCTTTCTATTACAGACCCTAAAAGGCACTGAGTAGCCTTACCGCTAACTGGTTCAGAACAAACAAACAGAGTTACTTTTCACATTGTATATAGTCAAGTGCATAACTCTGCAACAGTATCATATGGATGCGAGAAGCTTACATGGATTCAGAAACAATTAAATAGCTGAAAAGTAAAACTCATCAAGCGCTAACAGAAAGCAAGCAATGAACCACAAATCACCAGGGGCTGGAATAACAAAAGAGAATATTATTTTTCCTCAGATTCTGAAGCTTTTACATAAGCATTTGCTGTTGTACAGTATGAGGCTTCTGGGCAGCTTGGACCTTTACTCAGAATTGGCTTGCTCTTTAACCAGAAAAAAATATCCCGGCAAAAGCTTGAGCTTAGTTTCAGTATCCTTAACTCATTTTTGCATTGATGTGAAAGCCAATACCAGCTTTTTCAAAAGGATCAAATTTAATGTTTTCTCTCTTTCAGGCTTTGTATTCTGAATGTTTATGATTAGGATGTAGACCCTTGTAGAAAACTGCTGTTATTCACCAGGTGCCAGTGAAACACTTTTTTTACTATGAGGGTGACTAAGCACTGGCACAGGTTGCCCAGGGAGGTCACGGAGTCTCCATCCTTGGAGATATTCAGAAGCTGTCAGGAACATGGTCCTGGGCAGCTGGCTCTAGGGAGCCCTGCTTGAGCAGAGGGGTTGGACCAGATGACCTGCGGAGGTCCCTCCCAACCTCAACCATTCCGTGATTCTGTGAAACAAATAATATTAACAGTTTCTAGGACTAACTGGAAAATGTAAGGGATTCACAGATACATCAAATGTATTGTCTTTAATACTTAAAAATATTTTAGTACTATTTAGCATGCATATTTAGTATATTAGGTTAGGTTCATTAGATAAGAGAGGATGCAAACAGAAAGGTTAATTCAGGAGAACTTCTTGCCGCTCGTAAGCGAGGTTATTGGCTCATAAAGTAATGAGAGCGTAATGATTGAAGAGACAGTAAAGAGTTATTCTTCTACCTATGGCTGAGTTTAGGAAAGGGCAAATAGTGCTTTTAAAATTTGAAATAGCTAGTTGAAAAAAGTTACATTTACTATACATATATTTCTGCTTTTGTTTTGTTTCTTTTCTTTATATCTAATCTTGCATACAATTATAACTTTCTTGCTAACTCATTAGGTATCAGTGGTGTCTTTAAGAAGTGGTGCACCTTTGAGCTCTTACCTAACAAATTTGTCCTAGTTGCAGCTTCCTACACTACACGTTAAGGAGAGTCTTGGAAGATGACATTAATCCTATTCTCTACAGCTCCTGTGCTGTAGAACTCTTCCCCTGAATAAAACGGATTGCTTGTTTTTATGCTACTTAAACTTTTTTAATCTAAGTTTGTGGGTTTACGATAAAGGATCTCACTAAATGACGAGTAGTACTACGCAGTACGAATGGAGAACGAAGTGATTACTGTGTTTTGAAAGAAAAGAGTTCTGCTCTTGTTTTCTAGCTATTTCAATATTAATCTAATTATCACAGGCTCTGCATTATGTTAATGAAAGCAGAATCTCTAAAACTTCTGATTTCAGTAAGCCTAATAAAATTGGATTGGTAGGAAGGCTACAGTACAATTCTGCCAGTAATACTAGCAGTAAAAGATTATGTTAAATGACCTTTGTCATTTCTAGAAATATGATCTGTGTCTTTCTACGATAACACTTAATGCTTCAGTAGAAAATTCTCTTAGTTTTCAAATGAGAGCTGACTCATTTGAGAGGGAGAATTTTAGGAATAAAACTTTCACAGGTACAGAAATATTGCAGTTGCCTGCAGGCATATGGAGGATGGGTTCAACAGATTCAGCATTAAGTTCCGCATCAGGTGATTGTAGCCACATTGCCCACACTGGGTGCAGTTCAGAAATCACCCTGTCTGTGTCGCACGGCATATAGCTGGAGCGAAGAAACCTGGTGCGGCCATCTTGGGTCTCGCTTAGGGTGTTTGCTTTACCAATAGATGCACAGAGTAGTAATACAGGCCAAAACTGGACTGATTTCTGCTGATCCATTTGGTTGCAGAACCCTGCTACAGCAATATCAATGCTGTATCCACTGCCCAACTTCACATTGTATTTGGGAGAACTTATTTCCAGCGTGTCACAAAGTAGGTGGAACTGGTTCAGGTCTGGTACAGTGCCGAGGTGATGATCTCAGTAGAAGTATGATACAAGGACACAGTTGTGTGTCTCTGAGCTGAGGTTCAGCTCTGTCAAACCAACCTGGGTAACACAGAGGGGTTGGCTGTCTCTCCAGTTCCATTTCCAGTGCTTGCATAGTTTGGATTGTCCTAATTTACCTTCTCTCAGGTTATGAAGAATTAAATGTAAATGCTGTTCTAAATAAAGTAAAATAAACCATGGCTTATTTTCTATTCCATTAATTTAGTGCTAGTATAATTAATAGAAGAGTGTTACTATGTAATTTTCCCCATTTTCCCCTGCTTTTTCCCTTTTTTAGTGATCATTCATATGTGACAACAGACCTAAAATTCCGAGCTAATCTTTTAAATAAATGAACAGTCTCTTAGCATGGTTATTACAGTTTGTAGCATGAAGTGTCTGGTTTTGGCAAATTATAGCAGAGATGTGAAAGTATAACAAAATCACAAACTGTTTGTTGTAAAAACAAGCAAAGAAAAAAAAGCCCTGCAAGAACACTTTTAGTGTATTATAATCTGTGGTTGTATATGATGATTTCATGAGCAGAGCCTTAAGGGTGTAAGTTATACATCGTCACCAATATTAATAATGCAAGTCTAGAAAACTTGCTATAACCTGAAGTGCATAAAATGTAGCATTAACTTTTTTTTGTTTTTAAAATTAACTTTATTTGTAATTCATACCTTGCCTTATTAACTTAAAGCAGTCTTTTGTTTATAGCTTTGAATTTTACTTTATTGGCTACTGAAGATGACAGTTGTATGCTTAACTTGTTTTGACCATATATTCATACGCCAATGCACAGAAGATCTTTCACAGTGTTAGCATGATTTTTGTGTTTGGATTGAGAAATTAATGCTGTGTGACATCCTCTATTGAATTTTGTTAAAATAACTTGATTCATCTGTAACAGGATGATAGTAAATAGTGTTTAAGCTGGAGCTGAAGTTGACGGTTTTGGAGAGTCTCATGTTCTGACCAGTATATTTGCAAGTATTGTTATTAAGTTGTCAAATTATATTTTTAGATGCGACTTGATGATTTTGAACTTACTGAGCTAAAAATATAACACCAGAAAATTCACAGATCAGGTTAAAGGACTTACATAGCTGTTACTTTGAGGGGAAAAAAAGGTATCTTTCAAAAGGGAAAAAACTCCCCTGTGTTTCTTCCCTCCTTCCCTGTTATATTAGGTCGTTTATTGAGAGCTAATCAGATCACATTCAGCTGGGATAGACTGGCTAGTTGGATCAATCTCACAGAGCAGTGGCCGTATAGAACATCGTGGCTCATACTGCACCTTGAAGAGACTGAAGGTGTTCCGGATCAGCTGACTTTAAAAACCATCTATGAAAGGTAGGTGTTATTCTGGTAATGGTATGCACTTCCAATGATTGAAATAGTGATAATTATTAATTATTATTAGAATAACAAGGCTTTCAAACAGCTACCAAGTTGTAGTCTAAAATTCCCCCAATCTTACTCTCTTCTATTAACTTCTGGAAACTTTAAAATGACTTGTATTGCTGTTTAATGCACCACGTACAAATGTGTGCTTTGTATTAAAAATAAAGAGAATTACACTGCAATTCATTCACAGATAGCTAGCTGTCCTTTTGTCTCTTGATACAATTTTCATCTCTAGCTTGGCCAAGCTAGAAGTTGGTTTTTTTCCCCTAGTTAGAAATCTGAACTAAGCTCTACAAAACCTGCCCTTACTGGTAACGATCTCTGAAGGTTTGGTACTTAGCAAGTGTGCTTGAGGCTATGGCCTTGTGCTGCAGTTAAGGAATACAAAAGTGAAGCATGACTTTCTCCATTGCTGATACAAGTTGCTGTCCAACAGAGCTGTCCAGGTATTAAAGCTGAGAGCAAATGGTCCTTCTGTTGCCCATGAACATGTCTCCCCAGAACCTGGCTGCTTGTAAGAAAGGACTTGTGGATTGTGACAAGTGACCTGATGACAGTGGGAGGAATGGAAGAGAAAGAATGTGACTGGGAGTTGGGCCTGTAGGAGCAAAGCAGAATCTGAGAATGAAAGCCAGTGAGAGGAAAGAAGGGTTTGACTTGTGTAAGAAATAACTGAGATCAGATGAAAAGAACAGCTGAGGTAAAGAGGGAAGACTGATATTGATTGAACAAGTTGCCAGAAAATCTAGAGACTTTGCAGGGACCAGGGAAAGAATGGAGAGGAGAAAAAACTTGGACAGAAAATTTTGGGAAGGTGCCCTGCACTAAGAGTCAAGGAATGGGAGAAGATGAACTGGATAAGGATCTGGGATGGGCTGGAAATGGTTGAAGTGTTGAGAATGCAATCAGGATTGATTGGGAAAGACAGCTGGAGGGGGTGGTATTAGGAAAGGAAAGCTGAAGTGGGGTTAAGATCTGAACACAGAGAACCCAGAAGGTAGAGGGGCAAGGGTGGACTGGGCATGTTGATCTGCATGAGGGTAGGAAGGCTCTACAGAGGAATCTGGACAGGCTGGATCAATGGGCTGAAGCCAGTTGTATGAGGTTCAACAAGGCTAAGCGTCAGGCCCTGCATTTGGGTCACAACAACCCTATGCAATGCTACAGGCTTGGGGAAGAGTGGCTGGAAAGCTGCCTGGCCGAAAAGGACCTGAGGGTGTTGGTAGACAGCCGGCTGAACATGAGCCAGCAGTGTGCCCAGGTGGCCAAGAAGGCCAAAAGCATCCTGGTTCATATTAGAAATAGTGCAGCCAGCAGGACTAGAGAAGCGATCATCCCCCTCTACTCTGTACTGGTGAGGCTGCACCTCAAGTACTGCATTCACTACAAGAAAGACATTGAGGTGCTGGAGCGTGTCCAGAGAAGGGCAATGGAGCTGGTGAAGGGTCTGGAGCACAAGTCCTATGAGGAGTGGCTGAGGGAACTGGGGTTGTTTAGCCTGGAGAAGAGGAGGCTGAGGGGAGACCTTATCGCTCTCTACAACTGCCTGGAAGGAGGTTATAGTGAGGTGGGTGTCGGTCTCTTTTCCTGAGTAACAAGTAATAGGACAAGAGGAAACAGCCTGAAGTTGCACCAGGGGAGGTTTAGGTTAGATATTAGGAGAAATTTCTTCACTGAAAGTGTTACCAAGCATTGGAACAGGCTGCCCAGGGAAGTGGTTGAGTCCCCATCCCTGGAGGTATTTAAAAGATGTGTACATGTAATGCTTAGGGATGTGGTCTAGTGGTGGACTTGGTAGTGTTAGCTTAATGGTTGGACTGGATGATCATAAAGGTCTTTTCCAACCTAAACGATTCTATGGTTCTGTGACGAGGCTGAGGATTGAAGATAGACAAAGAGGGCAAGTAGTAGACTGGAGTGGCTTCAAGTTGCGGGTTGTTGCTGGAATATGAAACTTCAGAGGTAAATAAGTGCATGAATAAAAACCACTTTCGTCTAGAGAACGGATCCAGTTTCTGGGTTTTGCATTTCCTCTTTGAGTGTAAGATACCTATGACATCAAAGATAAAGTAATGGGAACCCACCTCTCCATTGTGGGTTCATGCGGCTAGTGTCAGAAATGTTTATGTAATCAAGTAAGTACAATAATTCAGAATCACCAGGGATTCCCTCTTGTGTCGTGCTTTCCAGTACTCTTGCTGTAGATATTTCTAGCTTATGTTTATTTAGATTTGCTGTATGGCATGTTTCATAATTTTATGTTTTCAGTATTTATCCAACAGACTTGTTACAGTCTTTTGATTATTAGCATTGACAGTAATAAATTGCTTTGGGGTGACATAACAGTGTTTATGTTTTCTGATAAACATAAGGATAAAATAAAGTTGGTATTAGAGACCTGAATTGTTCTCATAAATGGGTACTAGTAATTCCAGAATAAACTAATGTTGAATCTGTAGTAAACCAACGTGAGGAGAAGGAAAGGACAGTCACAGTTGAATGTGAATGACTTACTTGGGTTCTGGATTATTTGCTGTTAGTACAGATACTTGAACTGTTGATATTCAGTGCCAACTGAAGTGTGTCAGGGTTTATTAGTTCAGGTGTGGAGGAGATTCATGACTTCTGCTATGCTGGTTTGCCTCTTGATATGCTGGTTGTGTTTGGAAGTAATATAGCCACCTAAGTAGAGTGCCAATTCATAATTGATGGTTATAAATGTATAAATAAATTTATAGTGTATAAAACTAGGATCTGTAATGTGAAGAAACAGTGAAGAACCCTGTACCATATATTGGAAAAGGAAAGGTGATGATCTTCTTTTAAGTAAAGCTGTTTGTATTCTACCTGCAATACCAGGAAAACAAGGAAAAGGGAAACCAACATTCAGGATTCTCTATTTAGCAAAAAATACCAAGGTGATTATTTGCTATGAAAATGATAAAGCTACAAGACTGAGTTTCTTTTTACTACTTAACCATTAAAAAAAAAAAAAAGGTTCATAATAATAACATTGGCATATGCTCAGGAAGAGAGTTGATGTCTATCTCAGCCACTTCCGTTGAACCTCTGTAAGGAACTAAATATATAACTCTACTGATGTAGTGACAAAGCTGAGATCTCATCTCTGGTGATTTGGGTGGTCATCTTTACCTTATGCTGAATATGAAAAGGCTGGTGAACTTTTCTCTGGGATTATCTAATGGTCTAAAATTTCTGTTTTATCCAAAATAATTCTTTCTGTGTCATTGTTATTCTTTTTATCTACAACTGTTTGAAGCCACTTGGCCTGAATATCTGTTTCTGTATCAGTTCAAAGTACAGTGTTTACTTTAGTTCTTCTTTTAAAACTTCAGTTTCTGTTTTCTAAGGTTTTCTAGTTTATAAAGCAGCTTTTCAATTTGGAGTGTCATGAATAGATACCAGATTTTGATACTTTTATAGCTTCTGTTCCTGTACTGAGTTTGTGTTACTTCTTCCCTGCCTTTTATTCTGCAAGGATTTTTTTTTTATTTTTATTAGTATTTTGGTACTTTAGAACAGGAGCAAGACTATAATTTTTCTAGTATCGAATAGTTTGTGTCAAAGTACTTTTTATTGTGACAGTCCAAATACTTCTTTGGTTTTGCTGTATTTCTGAACTCTAGGTGTGTGGGGAGAGGGGTGTGCTTGGACATCTCCCTCGGATGAAAAGAAATTTTGTAGGTTCTGTGTTAAGTGTAGGAGTTCCACACCTGATCACATTCTCCATATAAGGAGAATGCTTTGATATTCTAGTTACTTTTCCAACTTTCAAAATAGCATGTGTTAAAAAGCTTGTGAATCACCAGGATTCCGTTGCAGTGAGAATGCTCCATTGCCTTCCTCTTAGCTGCTGACTGTGCGGGACAGAGGGTTAACACAGCGGATTGACCTGTTACAGGTACCTTCAGCTGAGGAGTTAGATAATTTGTGTGTGCACCGAAGGTATGACAAGTGGTAATAACACCTACGTTGTTTTATTGCTCTATCTTTGAAGGCAGATTATAACCATCTCTTTACTGTGAGTACAGTTGATGCTGTAGGAAGTGTGATTCAGTGCAAGTTAAACACGGTACCTGTGTGTGTCGTGGTGCTGTGTCGGCAGGTGGCACTCGCAGAACGACTGTCTGTCTGTCCGTCCGGCGTAGCTCTGACAGCTGCTGTTCGCTTGTTTGTCTTAGCATGTTCTGTATTCATATTTAACCTTAGTGATCTTTTTCACTACATGTTTTGTTTTTCGGTATCTCAAAGAATAAGCAATGCTTTCACAACATACAAAAAATATAGTAAAATTAAAAGAATCAAGTAGTCAAGCATTAAGAAATGAAAGAATAAAAATAGTCTGCAGTTAATTCCCCTCTGTGTATGCATTATGATATATGATTTATATGATCGTATGCTATTTTGCCCCCATAAGATTCCTGTCTTGTCCAGAATTTAGTTTTGCAAACTGTATAGACAGTCTGTGTAGTAAAGGGGAGGGCCATTTTCCGTCGCATCTCAGTGCTATCTGTTGTAGTTGAAAACAACGCAATAGGAAAACTAAACTAAGACAACTGAAAGCTTCTCTCTAACTGTTCATCAGGGTTTGTGTGATGCTGGACTAGTCACCTCTTATCATACCTTTCACTTGGACAGTGTTTGTGCCTCTGGGAGGTGGTATACAGCTTATGGTTCTGAAGGCTGATATTAGTAAGTGCTCAGTGTTCAGAGCTATATGTGAAGCTAGTGGGACCTCTGCTTTCAGTGGGTGGAGTACATAGAAAAAAACCCGGATATTTCAATTTGGTTACTAAATAAATATACCTATATCTCTGCTTCAATTGTTATTAAAACCAAAAAAAGCTAATATATTCTTATCGTGAAGGATTGTTGGTGAAAGTAAATTTGCGAGTGCTTTTCTGTAGATACTATGATGAATATGG